TCATGTAAAGCGCTTTGAGTACCCAGAAAAGCGCTATATAAATGTAACTAATTATTATTATTATTAATTATTACTTTGAAACTTGTCTTTTTTATCCATTGTTTTGTTTTCTCATTGTCAGACAGGGTGGGAGTTCCCAGAATTCCAGTTATCATCACTAGCGCTACATGCCAGTGTGCTGATGCTTCTTCCAGCTCACTTTTCAGATCCCCAGTGAAGACCTTGTCTCCTAGACGACCACCGGGACAAGACCACAGGAACCAGATGATTCCTCTGCACAATGTGACTTTTTACTATTGTCCTTTTGCAATATTGACACACTATTTTCCTATTCAGTACTGTAAAGTTGATTTGGCACAATCTGTATTGTTAAAAGCGCTATATAAATAAAGGTGACTTGACTTCACTTTAGAACAGTTGAATGCCTCCCAAGGCCTCTCTTAGTGTGATATTCCCAGTGTTTAGTGCAATATCTTATAAATTAATATTACACATAATATTGTCTCCAACTACAAGCCCATTAATTTCAAGCTTCATTTTTTTTTTCAAGGATTTTCACAAATGTAAGATGTGTGTTCTATATTCCAGATTTTTTTTTTTAAGTTATTCGATTGCTTTTGTGAAAACAGACTGAAACATAAGTCACTATTTGAATCTGTCAGCTGGCAGTTCTGATGTACTGTATGCATCATATAACTGCAGCAACAAGAGTGTTAAATAAACAAAATGTGCAGAGCTTTGGGTGCCCAGGACCGGAGCTGAGAACCACTGATCCTATTCTCCTCCCACTGTAAACGCATAAACAAACAAACAAAATAAAACACACCATAGAGTGCTGCACGGATATTGGTAACACTTCATTATTACTTACAATTCAATTCTAATTTCATTACTTTCATTTCAATAACTAACAAACATTATACACTATAAAGCTTAACAGATCGTTAGTTATTATATACTCACATAGCTAGACATATGAGACAATGTGCTTTAATGTTTATAAGGAACTTATTAAACTATTGATTAACAGATCATTATTTTATGTAAATTGAAATGCTTTATTAAACTTCATTATCATACTAAATTTCATATCATTAAACTTTCAATTCATATGATTATGCACTCTTTAACAATCTTCAAAGGATTTTGACAGATGGTTTACAATAATTAAAAGCTTCATGAATAAACCATTAACAAACATTATAGTAGCAAAAGCGTTGCGCATTAACAAAAGCTTTTGATCACATTGTATAACATCTTTTAAAATCATTTGTGGATTTTCAAGAGGTGTGTGATCATATGAATCGGAAGTTTAATGACATTTGTAAGCATTTTAATTTCCATGAAATATTGATCTGTTATTAGTAAACTTTGACAAACACATTATCTCACATTAAAATCTATATTAACTAATGATCTGTTAAGCATTATATAATGTTTGTTAATGATTTAATAATGAAAGTTATTATAAAGTGTTACTGACATATTTCCGTAGGCAAAAACCTGTTACATTTCAGCACTTCCGGAAACCACATACTTCCCTACTATATAGTAGGCAAAAAGCAGTAGGTGAACGAATAAGTATGTCCGAATCCATAGTATTCATAAAAGAGTAGGTGAGAATTACCAGCGTGGTGTACTACTTCTCGCGTGCTTATAGTTACGTCTGAATATGTCTACTTGCCTACTATATACTTTTAGTAGTGCATAGGATATCTAAGTCCACTAAAGGAGGGAGGTAATTTTCTCATCTGGCTCCTAAACTCTGGAATAGTCTTCCTGATAATGTCTGGGGCTCAAACCCACTCTCTCGGTTTAAATCTAGATTAAAGACACATCTCTTCAGCCAAGCATTCGCATAATGAATCTCAATCTCACCCTTGTTCCCGGTTAGATCAGATAAAAGTCACAAACATACTTTTTGCTTGAAATGTTATGAACAGCAGCTACGCTAATTCTTTTCTATCTGGCTTTCTGTTCCTCCCCCGGGATGCCCATCTCGAGGTATCTAGAGATTACACCAGCTCCAGCGTGGATCCAGCCTCATAGAAAGACTTCAGATGACCCAACACCTGTGAAGAGATGATGCTTACCCCTGCGAGGACCCCAGATGACACCAACTTGAATCGACATGCACAGCTGCCAAAATTTCTCTATATTTTAATCATTATGATCACACTTGTAATAATCGCTTTAATGAGCTTCTGCCAGAAATTAATTCATGTTAGCTAACTGTATGATTCTATTATCTTGAACTGTTCATTTGTGAAATGAACATTACTTGGACACTTTCACTTCTGCTTTGTAATGTAGACACATGCATTTTCTGTAAAGCTGATCTGATCTGTATTGTGAAAAGCGCTATACAAATAAATTAGAATTGAATTGAATTGAATTATATAGTAGGGGAAAACAGTATGTGAGGAGAGTAGTATGTCCGAAACCTCAGTATTCATAAAAGAGTAGGCGAGAAATCCCCGGATGTCCTACTGCTTCAGCCAGATTCTCCCTGCGTTTCATTCGGAGGGGCTCATCCCTACGTTCTAATCATTTCAAAGGCTTTACCCTCCGGAGTGAGAGCTTTGAAGGGATGATGGGTGCAGGGTTTTTTTTTTGGAATGCACTTCTGCGTCACCTAAACGAGACCCCCAATTGTCTTTTACATTAAATAAACTGTATATTTGAATATGTAATATAATGTAATGTAATATGTATTTGTAATGTATATTGTGTCTATGTATTTGAAACATTTGAATGGACTGATAAAGGAAGCTGTTAAGTATTTTTGTGGAAGTACAATGTCGTTTTGACCATAATAATGTACCAAATCTAACTCGTATAAATACAGTACATACATTTATAGGTGAAGTCGAACTCTGTGACGCCAAACAACTTCCCTGTGCAAAGTATCATGGGAGCCCGAAGTGTCCATCAGTTGTACCCTTCGAAATCCTTCATCCCGAAGGGCCCTTTGAAGTGGCCAGTTTTGAGCACTTCGGTTTGGAACGACCCTTCAATATGGCGGCCATGATTGTTTACACTCCGAAGTGCCCTTCAGAGGGCGATATATCCCCTATTTTGTATGATCTGAACTGTCCACAGACTGGTGTGAGCACTGAAGATTCGGTAACACTTTCTATGAAGCCCGTATTTATAAAACATTATAAGGGTATTCTTAAGGCATTATATTGAATGAATAATGCATTATAAAAAAACCTTAATATGTTGCATCATCTCATAAATAATCATATAACAGTTTTAATGTATTATAATACTTACTTATTTGTGGTTATAGCTTTTAAGAGTATGATGATTTAAAACAAACAATGAACATGTTGCATCCACTTAAGTTACAATGAATTATATTTCCCATAGTTATATTATATTATAAGTCTCATATCTTGCCATTGTTTAAGATCTGCATAATAACTTAGTACATCTTTTACGTTTTTACTGTAAAATGACAAATACAAAGTCTTCATGAAAACATCCAAAAGGCTTTATAATGCGGTCATATTATTTATAAGTGGTCTTTGTCTGCTTTAACTAAAGTAACTTCACACAGAAAATCAGATATATCAGATCAGATGAATGTGTACACATTTGCTTTGAACTATTTTTATTGTAATATCAGTATGGTTATTTTGATGGTATCCATTAGACAACTGTTGATGAGTAACTTTGCAACTACATGTCAACTAGCGGTCATTGAGTATTGGTAGTATGTCTGCTAAATATCTGCTAAGACTTTATTTTATATATATATATATATATATATATATATAGTGATACTTTGAGATAATGATTCATAAATTAATTTAAATATTTATAAAGTGATGAATATTGTGTGAATATGAGTGGTGTAATGTACAAAAACACCCACACATGAATTGTAAAACATGAATTGTAAAACGTTTTAACCTGTGTAACATGAATGTTTGGAGCAGACACAGCAGCAGCCAGATTGTTCTTCCACACTTGCTTCAAGGTTGTGGGGTTCAGGGGGGCCATCATCATGGTCTTCCTCATCATCTGACTCAACGATGTCCCCATTGAGAAGAGCGAGATTGTGAAGCACAGCGCAGCAACAACCTCAGTCATGTCGGTAGGGCCATGTTTTCAGCAGGCCAAAGGCTCGCTCTACTATGCTTCACGCACAGGAGTGCTTGCTGCTGAAACGAGCCGCACAGGGTTCTGTAAGGCTCTCTGTATGGGCTGATGAGGCAGATGGGTCTCTCAGGCAAGGACAGCCTCGATGTCCCTCTTCCATCATGATCAGATTCAGTCTGACTGCAGCAATGAGGGACGTGATGGACGGCAGAGACAGCTGAAGGTGGGCACGGTGGTCAGCTGCAGAATTGGCACAGCTGTGTTGAGATGGCAGTAGGATGTGGGATTCCTAAATTTGAGTAAATCTTGTTTCATGTGTTGTTCACTTGTAATGTATTTATTTATTGTGGTGCTTACTTTTATTCATTCTTTTTACTCATTTATTCATGTTTCCTATTGTTGTCAGTAAATAAAATATGATTATTTAATTAATTTATGCATTAACTCATTGCTTGACTGAAAATTGAGCTGTATTCACCTTGGCTGCATTTGTCCACAATAATATATAAATAAAATAGTATTAGACACACATATCTAATATGGTAATTCAGACATTGAAAAATGTATTTACAGATGAGAGCATGAGTGTAAAGTGGATAATTATTTGATGTGCTTTGTTAACCATTTATTGCGCTCACGCTGCATGTGGTATTCGGGAGATCATGTATAGCCTATTATTAGCCCATGTGTAGTATTAATTTATTGTGTAAATGTAACTTTATTCAGTTGTTAAAGTTATTTGAATTTTTTATTTTTTTTTTCAGATTTAAATATGCCTGCGCATGCGTGCAAAAAGACAAAGTGCAACAGAGAATTAAGTGTATAATAAGTTAGCCTAAAAATAGATCTTTCATGATGAATTTTGGTCAATGCGCTTTAAAATGATGAGATGAGATGTCCGTAATTTTGCTTTCAAATTAATTTCATAATAAAAAGTTTGTTATATAGTTTTGTAAAGTCTTAGGCTACTTAACAGGGACAAAACATTAATGAAGCATGCAAACAAGACATTACGGACAATAGACTGAACGGGCGCTTAGAAGATGAAAGAAAACAACATTAAAGAGTCTCCTACAAAAAAAAAAATAAAAAATCACATTTCATTGTTTTAGAAATATTTCATAGATCTCAAAGGGAAGAAGAGATGTCATTCTCGAATTTTAAATATATTAATTTAGCTGAATATGACTTTAATCCTGTTAATCATGGTTTTGATTAAAAAACCATGGTTACTGTGGTAAAATCATGGTTTTGCCTATAGTAATCAATACGGTTCTGGGTGACCAGAACATTTTTCTTATTGATCAGTCTTTAAATACTATTTGTAGCGATTAGAGTCTCCTACAAAAAAAAAATAAAAAATCAAATTTCATTGTTTTAGAAATATTTCATAGATCTCAAAGGGAAGAAGAGATGTCATTCTCGAATTTTAAATATATTAATTTAGCTGAATATGACTTTAATCCTGTTAATCATGGTTTTGATTAAAAAACCATGGTTACTGTGGTAAAATCATGGTTTTGCCTATAGTAATCAATACGGTTCTGGGTGACCAGAACATTTTTCTTATTGATCAGTCTTTAAATACTATTTGTAGCGATTTTCAATATTTATAACTGCCTGCAATGCTTGTGGGCATATAATGCACACTCATCCAGGCCACCAAACCTACAGTAGAAACCACAAACCTATTTTTAACCCTATTTTTTAATTAATAGATTATACTTTGTAACCATCACGTAAAGATTACTGTGGTATATACACTGCAGATTTTGTTTGGCCATAAATCCGCAGTGCACTATCATAGACGCTCTTCATGATTTGTGAATTCATGTGACACTGTCCTCCGGTCCGAAATCAAGAATATATTCTCTGTGATGGAATGGCACTGGCTTTAGCATAATCATTGTCCTGATTCATCCTGATTCAACTCATTTACTATCCTTATCCAGTCCTACGCAAAGCATGCTGGGAACTAGAAATCCACTGCCCAGTTTTCAAAGTTATCAATACTATTTCATTAAGTTACTATGTGATGATCACCATTATTATGTCAAAAGAAATCAACAATGTTTGTAAAAGGTTTAATTAAATCAATAAATTAGATTTCTAATTCGCAACCATGCATTTATATTAGTTGTGGTAATAGGCCTCCTAAATCACTTTTTAGAGTGTATATATCAAGTCCACACTGCCTGATTGTTTATATTGTTGTCAGATGTAAATTATTCTATTGCCCAGCTTTAAACTGCTATATGTGAACAATTAGGCATTAAGATTTCATGAGACAATGTCAATGAATTTCTCTAAAGCTGCTTTGAAACAATGTGTATTGTGAAAAGCGATATAGAAATAAAATTGTCTTCCACTTTCACAAAAACAAAACAAAACAAAAAAAAACTTTATTGGCATACATCTTATTACTTATAAAATTTAATAAAAAAAGTAAGCCTATACTACATTTGCTTTTGTCAAGTCATCTTAAAAAATGCATTATACCAATTTTCCTCTTCTAATGAGCTTCAGAATTGTTTTTCACCATCACGAGACATTTTATGTTTTTATTAGCCCTTTAAACAGGCCAATGAAAAAAAATCCTCTGATACCATGAGTAAACGTTTTCCACCTTTTTTTTCATCTTTGAAATAGCACTTGTGCATCTGTCAGCCAAATTATGTGGCATCAATAATGGTTCTCTTTTGAATGTTTGGACAGATTAATTTAATATCACCATTTATTTGATTGCATTTTGCTGCTTTGTATAAAATGCTTCACTAAATGATGCTGACTATCAGGCAGGTTGTTTCTCAGCAGTTGTGAACTTGATGTATCAGCATGAGCAAATATCTAATGCTACTACAAGAATAATACTGGTCCACCGTGGACACACAAGCATAAGCATGTGCCTAGAATGCACATTATATCCAGCCCTAAGTGTCAGAGCAGCTAGAGCAGTTCACCATCAAGCCACAAGAGGACTGTCTTGTTCTCAGATTTCTTGTCTGACCAGTGTTCTATTTTATTCTCAATAGCATGGCTTATTTAAGGGACTTATTATGGCACTAACACTCATTACTGTTTTGACTGTTTTATGCTGGTTTGGACTTGCGTGTGTGTGCGTGTGTGTGTGTGTGTGTGTGTGTGTGTGTGTGTGAGTGT